TAAAAATCTAAAATAATTTCTTTTGACCTAAAAGGTAGGAATAAATGACTTTGTCAGCTTCTTCAGATATGGACTCCCAGGTAATACACAGGCTGGAACATTTTACCTATAACACTGGTGCTCATGTGATTGTGAAGAAATTGGCTTTCTGTGCAATGTCAGTGACATTAAAGTATAAGCAAACCAATAAGTAAACTAAATACAACAATTACTTGTGTTATCGTGGCCATGTACTTCCTCAAATTAGTACATGTTACAGTTGTACGATCAATGAGATTAGCATCATAACATGCTTTGGACAGAGCCTCATATGCACAGACAAACCCTTCCCCTGCAACAGAGACCACACAGAAATCTAGCACATCTGCAGCATTTAAACAAATGATAGACATATTGTAGAATCAGAAAAATATCATTATGGGTTTAAACTTATTTTTCATATGCCAAGTGGAATTATCAAGAAAATGTTTAAATACGTGGATTATACCTTTTCAGGCAAACATGAAAGTATTCTTTTCCAGGATCCACTGCATCGCTTCTAACCCCTCCTTTGTGAGGGTAGTCCATCCGTTTCCTTGCGTCTGCTGGAATTATGATAGGTACACCACTTCCAGTCTGTAACCACTGTAACTATCAATATAACACAAACTATTGCATGAGCTTGACATATGATGTGATGCCTAGGTCATGTGACAACTTGCATTGTCATACTATAAATTTGTTGGTTACTGCGAACAGTGTCTGGCACAGGCCTGCTTATCAGTGTGGTGCTATAGTTTCATTTTGGTGTAATGCTTTGTGCCTTATAAAAGGTTTAACCAATGCACCATTTATTCAGATATAACAAATTTAATAAATACCTTTCCTCACACTGTGATAACCACCTGATTCTCTAACAGTTTTGTTTGAAATGCTGTACAATCTCCAATCAAATGCTTGACATCTTCCCCCCTTGTCACTGTTTGTAGTCTGTCAATCTGTAAATGGTTTAAAAGGATATTTTGCACATTTTCTGGCTGCATTCTATTTAATGACTATTGAAACTATTGCATCTAAACACCTTTACATACAACTGTCCTGACACTATCAAGGTTACATGAATATTCAGAAATCTACCTAGTTAGATTTATATGGGATTTCTTTCATTCTAATATTATATGTCACATGTATATGGAAATTAAGGGGCACTATTTCCATTAAAACATACATACATGCCATATGTAATTTTGAAAAGAAGCATTGTAATTTGTGCAATACCTTTAATTAAAAAGAATAATGAGTTATGCATTGGCCACTGCTCTCTTAACCCTTGATGCCATTTCTAATACTTTGTAACTCTTTCATATGTACTTTAAGTAGGATAGAAACCGGAGTTGATGCCTCTGCCCTTGGATACATTATTTTTGGTCAAAAACATTTGCAAGATTTTTTGTATCCTTTGAAGGAATATTTTGATCCTGCACATGTTCATATGTAAAAGAAACAACAGAATATTTACAAGGAACTTGTTGTTGTGATGATTGATAATGCTTTAAGCAGTGGATCATTTGAGTGATTAATTTTCCTCAGCTTTTCAAATTCAACTCCATAACTGAATAAAATCTTACCTACTCAATAGCCTGGAGCTCTTCAGGTGGCCTCCGATTGTACAGGAGTAGTCTTGCAGAAACAACTCTACAAAAATTTCCAGGTCCTTATTGGACAAATCAAAATCAGTGATAGCAACTTTCAAGTACTCATTGAGCTTGTTAATGTCATCAGGCTCTGGAAGTTTAGGACTTTTCCTATACATCCTCTGCTGCAGAAGAACTTTGGGCAGTTTTGTTACCCATGTTGCCCAGTAGATTGCAGTTGCCTGCAGGAGGTCTTCCACTTTACCATGTGCTTTTTGGTCTCCCTGTATTATTGCTAGACCAATTTTTCTAAAATCACATGTTTGATGTCAAAGCCAAATTTAAATGCATTGCTTGGGTGCTTGAGATTGTCGTCATTTTCTGCTGCAGGAGATGCAACAACTAAGGTGGCCTCCACAATTGCATCAAAATGTTCAGGTTTCAGGTAGTCCCAGAGGCTTGACCCTTTACCATTAGGACCTAATGGTAGCAGTTTCAGAGTTTTTAAATTAAGCAGTAATCTACCAACAAGTTGAACAATTTCTGATGTATAGCTGCCTCTCTTCAAATTATTCCCTAATACTCCTCCATCCACTGGTTTCCTAATTGGATGATGATAACGTTATTTCTTGCAGTCTTTTCTATTTTGTCCATCCCATTTTCCCAAATTACTGCCTTCACAAGTTTCCTACTTGCGATTGGTTGAGTTCTTTTACAAATTGTATCTGATGCTGTTAAAAGTCCTGATGAGGTTTTTGTGACGACATCCTTTGTCCTTGCTGGACAAGTCTTCTGATGCTTCTGCATTCATTTTTTTCCTACCCAGAGAAAACAAATTCGACATGGTCCAAAATCTGCCAACTGAAAAACAGATGGCCTTCTTTCAAGGATTATGTTTCCTCTTTTTATTGATGTCATGTTAAATTCATGATTAAACCTGCGTCTGAGCAAAGTACAGAGTCTGTTTTTCCTTTTTGGGTCTTTTTCTTTCTGTATCTCTTCACATACAAGTTACCTTCATGTTTTTGTTTATTTCTTTCTATATGTTTTGCAAAGTTGCAAACTCTGATATTACAAACACCACAAAACTGATTGCTGTTATAGACCCTATCCACTTTTTTTCTTTTTTCCTGTTTTGGAGGTGTCAGATTTCATGACTTTCTTGATGTACAACTTCAGATTTTTCACATCTCTCAACACTGTCTCTTCATCACTCATATCATCAGAGGATTCCTCCTCAAGTTGGGACTTGTCAGTTTCCTATTTATCCTGCTGTGACACATTAATTGAAGATGTACTGTGAATAGACTTAGAAAGCAAGAGATACACTTCACTACATTCTGATCACTACCTTCACTATCCAAAACGTCTCCAAATAAAAAAAAAAAAAAAAACCCAGTTAGGATCCTGTTCTAATAGTTCTCTATTGAAGTATTTTGGTCCTCATTTATTTCCTCAGAGTCTTCTTCCAAAAGTTTTGTAAATGACAATAGTTGTGTATCTGTAAACAGTAAAGTCACAGGTTCCACATATACATTTGCAACATTCCAACAGTTCGTCCTCTGTCATTTCATTTCCTGACGTTGGAACTCCTTGTAATGAGTTCTCCAATGTTGAGACACCTGATGCTGGGATTCTTGGAGATAGGACTACAGGTGTTGAGATTCCTGATGTTGGGACTGTGTGTGTTGGGACCTCTGATGTTGAGTCATCTGATTGTGGGAGTCCTCTAATGTAGAAACTGCTGATACAGGGACTCCTGGAGTTGGGACTCTCAATGATGGGACATCGGATGAAAGGTTGTCAAACATTAAAGACCTCTGATATTTGGACCTCAGATGTTGGGATATATAATGTTTGGACCTCTGATATTGGGACCTTTGCTGTGCTGGCATCTGATATTGGGACCTCTGCTGTGCTGGTATCTGATACTGGGACATCTGCTGTGCTGGCATCTGATATTGGGACCTTTGCTTTGCTGGCATCTGATATTGGGACCTCTGTTGTGCTGGCATATGATATTGGGACCTCTGCTGTGCTGGCGTCTGATATTGGGACCTCTGTTGTGCTGGCATCTGATATTGGGACTACTGCTGTGCTGGCATCTGATATTGGGACCTCTGCTGTGCTGGCATCTGATATTGGGACTACTGCTGTGCTGGCAAATGATATTGGGACCTCTGCTGTGCTGGCATCTGATATTGGGACCTCTGTTGTGCTGGCATCTGATATTGGGACCTCTGTTGTGCTGGTATCTGATATTGGGACCTCTGCTGTGCTGGCATCTGATATTGGGACCTCTGTTGTGCTGGTATCTGATATTGGGACCTCTGCTGTGCTGACATCTGATATTGGGACCTCTGCTGTGCTGACATCTGATATTGGAACCTCTCTGCTGTGCTGGTATCTGATATTGGAACCTCTCTGCTGTGCTGGTATCTGATATTGGGACCTCTGCTGTGCTGGCGTCTGATATTGGGACCTCTGTTGTGCTGGCATCTGATATTGGAACCTCTGTTGTGCTGGCATCTGATATTGGGACCTCTGCTGTGCTGACATCTGATATTGGGACCTCTGTTGTGCTGGCATCTGATATTGGAACCTCTCTGCTGTGCTGGTATCTGATATTGGGACCTCTGTTGTGCTGGCATCTGATATTGGAACCTCTGCTGTGCTGGCATCTGATATTGGGACTACTGCTGTGCTGGCATCTGATATTGGGACCTCTGCTGTGCTGGTATCTGATATTGGAACCTCTGCTGTGCTGGCATCTGATATTGGGACCTCTGCTGTGCTGGCATCTGATATTGGGACCTTTGCTCTGCTGACATCTGATATTGGAATCTCTGTAGTGCTGGCATCTGATATTGGGACCTCTACTGTGCTGACATCTGATATTGGGACCTCTGTTGTGCTGGCATCTGATATTGGGACCGCTGCTGTGCTTGCATCTGATATTGGGACTACTGCTGTGCTGGCAAATGATATTGGGACCTCTGCTGTGCTGGCATCTGATATTGGGACCTCTGTTGTGCTGGCGTCTGATATTGGGACCTCTGCTGTGCTGGCATCTGATATTGGAACCTCTCTGCTGTGCTGACATCTGATATTGGAACCTCTCTGCTGTGCTGGTATCTGATATTGGGACCTCTGCTGTGCTGGCATCTGATATTGGGACCTCTGCTGTGCTGGTATCTGATATTGGGACCTCTGCTGTGCTGGCATCTGATATTGGGACCTTTGCTCTGCTGACATCTGATATTGGAATCTCTGTAGTGCTGGCATCTGATATTGGGACCTCTACTGTGCTGACATCTGATATTGGGACTACTGCTGTGCTGGCATCTGATATTGGGACCTCTGCTGTGCTTGCATCTGATATTGGGACTACTGCTGTGCTGGCAAATGATATTGGGACCTCTGCTGTGCTGGCGTCTGATATTGGGACCTCTGCTGTTCTGGCATCTGATATTGGGACCTCTGTTGTGCTGGTATCTGATATTGGGACCTCTGCTGTGCTGGTATCTGATATTGGGACCTCTGTTGTGCTGGCATCTGATATTGGGACCTCTGCTGTGCTGACATCTGATATTGGGACCTCTGTTGTGCTGGCATCTGATATTGGAACCTCTCTGCTGTGCTGGTATCTGATATTGGGACCTCTGTTGTGCTGGCATCTGATATTGGAACCTCTGCTGTGCTGGCATCTGATATTGGAACTACTGCTGTGCTGGCATCTGATATTGGGACCTCTGCTGTGCTGGTATCTGATATTGGAACCTCTGCTGTGCTGGCATCTGATATTGGGACCTCTGCTGTGCTGGCATCTGATATTGGGACTACTGCTGTGCTGACATCTGATATTGGAACCTCTGTAGTGCTGGCATCTGATATTGGGACCTCTGCTGTGCTGGTATCTGATATTGGAACCTCTGCTGTGCTGACATCTGATATTGGGACCTCTGCTGTGCTGGCATCTGATATTGGGACCTCTGCTGTGCTGACATCTGATATTGGGACCTCTGCTGTGCTGGCATCTGATATTGGGACCTCTGCTGTGCTGGCATCTGATATTGGGACCTCTGCTGTGCTGGCATCTGATATTGGAAGTCCTGATGTTGTACCATATGTTGTTTTATCTCCAACCAACTTAATGTCTGAATGAAATGCACGGAGTGAGCTTTTTAGGTTTTTTTTCTTCAATGTTTCTGACATGTAAATATAGAATTGATATACCTGATATTACCTGATAAAGAAATGTTATAATTCCCCAAGCTCAGAAGTTTTTTGTCATAATTGATGAAAATAACCAACTGTTGACCAAGCAACACCAACATCCAAAGTTGTAGAGTAATCACAGTAAACACATTTTACAAAACTTAGTTTATGCTAAATTTCTTTATCCATTTTCAATTGTCATACCACATATTATGTGTTTTTGTTGTACTCACAAAGTACAGTTAATGAAACAGACAAAATGCATTAACACCATATTAGTAAAGTAACCATGGTTTCGGTGACTGTGGAAAAACATTTGTATTTGTGTGAAATGGTCAGTTGACAAATTGTGATTTTGAATTTAAATTAACAATTTTTTTGTAAGAGTTTTTGAAATAATAATTTGTATAGCCTTTTTTTATTTTGACCAATATATAATACATTTTCATATACCATGTGGTTTCCTATTTTAAACCACCGTAATTAAATACCATTACTTACTAACAAAATTTAATGACACAGAAAAAGTTCTAGCTCAAAACATTGAAATATTTATATCGTATCTACAGCAGGCATAGATGTCAAATCCTTGTACATAACTGAGGGATCAAATATTGCTTAAACAACAGGTCAATAAGAGGAAGTGATGTTAATGGAAAACAAGTATACTGATATTACACCCAGCAATGTCTGATGTAAATGACCTTGACCTATATTCAAAGACACAGGGGTCAACACCTGTATCAAACAATCTTAAACACAACTGAGAATTTGTTTCAATTACTTTGAACAGTATGGATCCTGGTCTGGTGGTCAAACACAAGTCAGGTTCACTATTCATGAATATTGCTTCAGATCAAACTTGGACAATATCTTTGTACAAAACAAGTATTTTTAGGAAGTCACATTTCCCAAATTGGGCCCCACCCCAAGAGGCTGGGATCAACCATCCCTGCAAAAATGACTCTCGTTTAACAAAAGGATACCTCAGACAAATTTGGGAAAAATCCAATCCCTCCTATAGAAGGAATAGGATTTTAAACAATTTTCTATATTTCCCCTATAGGGCCCCAACCCTTCCACCCAAGGGAGCCGAGACCCACCATTTACAAAATTGATAATCCTTCACCCATTGCTTCAGACCAAATTTGGGCAAAAACCTTTAATTCCTACACTTCAAGAGAAGGATTTAACAGAATTTTTCTTATTTCCATTATTTTGCCCCGCCCCTCCCGACATAGGGTGTGGAGACCTAACGTTTATACAAGATTGATTCCTTTTCACCCAACAATGCTTCAGACTAAATTTGGGTCTTATCTGTTCATTCCTACATTAGGGAAAGGATTTTAAAGATCAAGATTTCCCAATCAAGCCCTGCTCCTCAGGCTACATGGGGCCCTAGAACCAATGTTTACGTAAACTTGTTTCCCCTGCCCCTGTGAAAGGTGAGGTCACATGAGCCCCTTACAAAGACCTTTTAGTTTTAGACTTGCTGGTGTTAAGTTGTATTTTGAAAAAAAATCCAATGCCGAGTAAAGCTGATGAGTTTTGTGGAAATAGCATGCTTAATTATATAGATATCACCATTTATGTCCTCTGATGCCTTCCTGCTCCTTGCAGTCAAAATCTAGATATTGTGTGTTCATCAGCCAGAAGCTGTATGAGAATAAGAGGATAGAAAAAGAGACCCTAAAAAGAGGCCATTGATGGAGCCTGCTGAACTTGGACAAGCAGACTGCACTGATGACAGTATCAAATTCTTCCATCATAGAAACATACCTGGCAGTCAACATCATTTTACCCTCTCATACTGGATTTCAGAAAACAGCTAACTGTGTTGAAGAAGTTGTCAGCATGAACAAATTAGTATGCAACAAGTGCAAGAGAAACTTTTAGCTGAAAGAAAAATATGTGGACAGGAGAAGTCGGATGTTATCAACACTGAGATGGACGGTATATACAGCAACCCACTTTTCAGCAGAGACCATACTCCATACCAAGGAGCCACCCAAGTTATCGGGTCCTTTTGTGAACAACTGACATCAGACAAGAAGATATACAGTGTTGTCAAAGGCAAAAAACTGTGTTATCATGCTGTGTATCTAAGATAGTGTGGGGGAAAAGTCACCCATCCAAAGCACACAGGTACCTGTACCGCTAACGTGTTAAAAGTGCCACCATTGGGAATGAGGAAGCCTGGGCCTCCATGGTTGGAGTAGAGACTGCTGACACTATTAGAATCAACTACCTGACCACAGATGGAGACATGAAGTCTGACACCAGAATGAAGAAATCACATCCTGCATGTAAACACTTGAAAGATCCTGCACACCTTGAGAAACCAGTGAAGACGGAAGTTTCTAGGAATATATTCAGTGCAAGCACCAAGTGTCTGGACAGCACAAAATTTCTTACCAGAACTTTGAAATCATAATCCTTCAACCATGTACAGCAGAAAACAAATATGAAGATGATGACATGTTATGGTAAGGATCCACACTACTGTTCATCTGTGTAACTTTGATATTGTGGACTCTCTGATAGTGAGAGTAAAAGCTGTGGGTAGTGTTTTGGTCAGTGGATCAAATGAATGGTGTACCTAAATACGAGACATACCTGCCAAAGGCTATAACATGGCATAATTAAGTAGGTTGAATGACATCTCAAACCGTCATCCCCCTCCGAAGTGAACAAGACATTCCATAAGTGAAACCTGCTACCCACTTAGGGACAAATCCCAACATATTACACCTGTCTAAATCTGCCCCAAATACATTGACATGTGTGAAAACTATACATTCTCAGGAAGCCAAATAAATGCAGATTTCTTTCATATATTATAAACCATAAATTTTCAAAACCCCAGAGGCCATATTCTGTTCCCAAATCTCAATTGGTAGGTTCTCTAACAGGGTAAAACAAAATACCAGTCACTCACAGGCTGATTTACTTGTACCAGTCCTGAAGGCCAAACCAGCCATCACTAGAAGTATATAGTGGACCTCAAGTCTGCAGAGTCTGATATAGACAGATTGAGGAGCCTTTGGTGCCTGAATCAGAAATCAACACTAAGTAATTACAAGTAAAAAAAAATTGTCCAAAGGGTTCTGACTATCTATCCCGTGATTTCTTTTGTTCCACATATCAAATTCTCCCGAGATGGATGGGAATGATATATTGACAACCACTTGGTTAACAACAACTTGCTTCGACACACACACACAAGTAAGTAGAAAAATATTTATCTTTCCATCAACGTATTATAACTATTATGCGGACAAAAGATGATCGCAATAGGTAACATCGAAACAAAGTCTCAGATGACCTAAAAATGCCCACAATTTTTTTTGGAAAGATGTTTTTAAGGTTTAAGAAGAACTGTATATAACAAAAGACCTGACGGGCCTGCTTTACTCACATGGCTAATTTAGCTATTCAGCCATTAAATAAAGAATTTCAAATGTGACAATTTCTAATTTAATTTCCCTATTGGTCCCTGTCCTTGTGGTCAAACAGAAGTCAGATTCACTATTCATAACAAGAGACCCATAGGGCCTGTTTCACACACATGTATCTTAAAAGCCAAGCAATGTTATACATGCCTATAGGTTGGGTATTTCAAATATTTCCAAATTAGAGCTATGTAACTTAACCTCTTTGATGGGGCAAGACCAATAGGTCAATTCTTATATCATTAGTGTCTTTCTCTTTTGATTCCCAGTAAGAGTTAATATAGTTATCAGGTTGGCATCTCAACTATGACCCAGAAATAATGTCCCTAAAAGTGTGCCATACCAAGGGTCAATTCTTACATAACATATGTGTTTATCTCTTGATGCCAAGCAATTCAATAACTATAGTTATGGGGTGGAGATATTCAACAGTTTCAAAGATAGTACCAAGAGTCCCTAGGAGTGAGGCCAGACCCCAGGGCCAATTCTTAATCATGACTATGTTTATCTATTGATGCCTATTATTGCTATATATGGTTATATAAAACATTTCCCTTACTGAGCCCCTCCACTCTTTCCCTAGGAGGGGCCAGACCCTCTATTTATATATAAAAAAAATTTCTATTGGGCACCATCCTCCCGCCCTTGTAGACCATGAACACCATTTATATAAAATCTATTTCCCTTTGCCCAAACATCCTTCACACCACATTTGGGCAAAATCAAATCAACCCTACAGGAGGAGTAGGATTTTAAAGAATTTGTTCTATTTCTCCTATCAGGCCCCAAGGGAAAGACTGATCATTGATACTAAATTGATTCCCCTTCATCTAGACACCTAAACATGATTCAGATAAAATTTGGACAAAATCCTATCATTCCTACTGAAGGATACATGTATTGGTGTCATGTGTTTGTGCTCTAATGATGATGATGATGATGTCATGATGATGATGTGTTTGTATGATAATGATTATGACGTCTGTTGATGACATAATGATGTCTATGTGACACAATGATGATGTGTTGGTGTCACGATGATGTGTTGGTGTCATGATGTTGATGATGTGTTGGTGTCACGATGATGTGTTGGTGTCATGATGTTGATGATGATGTGGTTGATGTCAGAATGTTGATGATGATGTGGTTGATGTCAGAATGTTGATGATGATGTGGTGTCACGATGATGTGTTGGTGTCATGATGTTGATGATGTGTTGGTGTCATTATGATGATGATGATGTGGTTGATGTCAGAATGTTGATGATGATGTGGTGTCACGATGATGTGTTGTTGTCACGATGATGTGTTGTTGTCACGATGATGTGTTGGTGTCTTGATGATGACAATATATTATAGTTTTAGTCGGATTTGTAAAGCCGGTGCTTATATGTTTATCAAGTTTTCATTATAAAAACCAGAGTTGGCGCCATGGTAAGAAGCTAGTCAGGGGGCTTGGTTTGAATCATCAATTAACAGCACTTATAAACAAACAAAACTTTACCTCATTAGACGTCACAAAACTGGACTGTTCGTCCCAAGCGCACACCCGCCGATATGACACTTTTTCAGGTTTTTCACACCCACCGCCATGACACTTTTTTAAAAGTTTTTGAAGATGAAAAGTTTGCGCTTCGTAGGCAAGGTACATTTGGTGCTCATGATTTATGAATAATATATGTTTGATACTGTACTGATCATGATGTTGACTCTGTTATAATTTATATTTTTTGTATTTTAGTTTTATTTGATGAAGGTTGATTGTGCTGATTTCTCAAGGTTTGTTAATGTGTATCAAAGTTCCTTGAAACGAAAATATTCCTTCAAACAAAGCGGTATAAAAAAAAAACAAAAATATTAATGTTTATAATCATCAATTAACTAGAACGAAATATTTCAATAACACATTTATTCATTTTGCGTGTCATAGTGACATTATCTAATGCATTGGAGATCAGAAATCGTAGTAGCTATAGTGAAAATATTGTAAATTTTGTATATATATGGAAGTCTGGTTTAATCTCAAAGAACTATGTCTTTATAGAAAAGTCTAACCATGATAATTCAAGGAAGGTAGACATGTAAATACATTTAATGTAATTATTCACACTTTTATCTATCTGAAATGCTGTGTGCGCCTTATCTACTTTCCTCAACTACAAATTTAATTATAATAAGTAAGGACTATTACTTTGCAATACATTTGAAATAAAGAAGTTGGTATAAAGTCCTTTCGATTTGTCTAAATCCTCAAATTGATAGGATAGTAATTGCAACATCTTGGGTATTTCAAAGGTTTTATTAAGTCAACTTTAACCTAGAGCTATTTATCATTTGGCTTGTTGGCGATAAATATATGGTTGTGTGTATTTTGTTGGTTTTTTTTTTTTTACCTATTTTGATTTGTTCACATTATTGTCGTCAAATTTGACATAAGCATTACACTAGATGTAAAATCGCGTAAAATTAAGAAAAATAGCCTCTGGTTCTCTTATTTTAGTAATTTTTGCATTCCAAAGTGTAGGAGTATGGGGAAAGTAATATAGCTTAGCGGTTATTTGTGAACATTTTTCAATACGTTTAGCCTTGGAGAGAGCTTAGTGCTAATGAGTTGGCTTTAGACACGTGTAGTGATATTCTTAAGGGAAAAAGTGTTAAATGGTCTACGGACAGCCAAAATTGTGTAAAAATAATTGCGGGTGGTAGTATGAAAATGGATTTACATATTATCTCGTGTAATATTTTATAATGTCTGTGCTACTAATGGAATATCTTGAGATGTTCAGTGGATTCCCAGGGAGGAGAACGAACAAGCGGACTATATTAGTAAAATCATCGATTACGATGATTGGGGTGTTAGTGTAAAATTTTTCCAACTTGTTGATTCCTGGTGGGCCCCCACACTGATGACCCGTTTGCTGATTGTCACAATAAGAAAATTCAGAGATTTAATTCTAGATTTTGGAAATTCTGAGTCTGTTGATGCCTTTGCTCAGGACTGGCCGGGTGAGAATAACTGGTTAGTCCCACCAGTTTCCCTGTGAAAACCATTAAATATTTGATGTGTTGTAGGTCTAAAGCTACCCTTATTGTTCCAAAATGGGTTTCAGCTCCCTTTTGGACTTTCATTTTTGATAAAATGACTGTTTGCAAAGCTTATGTAGAACATGTTTATGAATTTAAAGATGGAAGTCGAATTTTTGTTCAAGGTCAAATCAAAATTCAGCTTTCGGAAGTGGTGAATTTTTTGGTCATATGCTAGCGATCAGATTGAATTGTACTAACTGCCGATATTGATCAATGCTGGATGTTTACACATGCTCCATGTTTGATATTGGTTGATGGACCATAAGTACACTTGTACAACTACGTGTGTGTTCCATTTGAAGGAACCGGTGCTGCATTTGAAGGAGTAGGAATCTATTTGAGAGATGATATAAAACGTTATTGTTTAAAATGATTTTCAGTTAAGCTAATAATAAACAAGATCATCTTGCTTAGTTTCCTTGTTTTTACGATTTTCAGATGTATTTTCTGTGGGGATTTGAAATAATTCCAGTGAATACGTATCTGACGCTCGTTTGGCGACTTTGGCTCAACAACTACCGGAAATCGTTCTGAAATCTCGTGCACCTAATACCACTTCTAAATACAAATCGGCATTTAAAAAGTTTTGTGCTTGGTGTAATAAATTTGGATTGAGTCCTCTTCCTGCCAAGTATTTCAACGTAGCTTTACATCTTACAGATGTTTTGAAAAATCATCCATATGTGTCGTTATTAGATGGAGTTTTTTATTCGATAAGTTGGGTGCATGGTATTTCTGGTTTTCCTAATCCATGTAAATCTCCGTTGGTTAAAATAATAATAATAATTTACAACATTTATATAGCGCACTATCTATTTTGACAAAATACTCTAATGCGCTTCACAATTACATAATAATCTTACTACAAAAATTACAGAACATGTATAACACAGTAATCAACATATGTAACACAGTAACCAAATCAAGTAAGAAGTGGTGAAAGTATGTATATATATATATATATATACTGGAGAGAGCACGTAGGATTTCAGCCAAACAGACTGTTAAAAAGGGACCAGTATCCACTGAAATTATTAGGTATAAATTTGGTGGCCCGCAATGCTGGAGAGAGAGAGAGAGAGAGAGAGAGAGAGAGAGAGAGAGAGAGAGAGAGGGAGAGAGGGAGAGAGAGAGAGAGAGAGAGAGAGAGAGAGAGAGAGAGAGAGAGAGAGAGAGAGAACAACTTGAGTGCCGAATCTCCTGGATAAGGCTTGTCATCCTCGATAAGGACGAGTGCTAGAAGATACTTGTAACATTACACAAATAAAAGTCGTGATTTAACATCTTTATGTACTAAATCAAAACTTTCATCGTCTGGCAGAACTGGCTTTAGCATTCTAAGTTTGCATATAAAATCGCAACGTATCTGAATTATTAGCATTTGGGCCTTGATCAACCTGTATATAGCTATCGAAAGTAAAAGTCCTTTGTCGCAAGTCCCTGTGGTCACTGTCATTTCACTGCGCATGTTCACAGACTTTGTTTATAATCAGTTTCCGGAAGAGAAGTGACAGACACTACTACCCGACAGAAGCGGGGTACGTATTCTGTTTAATCTGACTACTTCAGTCAGATGTTTTTTCTCTGTTAGTGAGATGATTATCATTCCGAGATGATTTCAGACAGAAAGCTGTGTCATCATCAGTTCTGTGACAGACATCTGGTAGACCGCAAACAAGATTGATATCGATCGGCTTGGCTTGTGTATTGGTTTATTATAATCCGAGGTTTTCAAACATGATGTTGAATACCAGTTTTAATTGAAGCCTTCCTTCTTCTGTTTTGATGCTTATTTTATGATTTATCTGAGACTTAAGGTTCTGTATTTATTTATGATCAAAAGTTATTTACTCTGCAGAATATGTAAAATTTTGCTGTGTGACGTAGCTGTGCTAGTCAGTAATTGATTCTAGTTCACACTCTGTGACAGTAGCAGTGGGCCTAACACAATAATGCGATGGTTAGATCACACATTCACTGTATGTTTATAATGTGTCTATTATTGTACATATACACAGCTACACTGATACTGTTACACAGAAACCAAACATCCAGCTACACAGAGACAGTTACACAGAAACAAAAAATACAGCTACACAGAAACCAAACATACAGCTACACAGAGACAGTTACACAGAAACCAAACATACATCCAGCTACACAGAGAGAGTTACACAGAAACCAAACATACAGCTACACAGAGACAGTTACACAAACCAAACATACAGCTACACTGATACAGTTACACAGAAACCAAACATACAGCTAAACTGAGACAGTTACACAGAAACCAAACATACAGCTACACAGAAACCAAACACACAGCTACACAGAAACCAAACATACAGCTACACAGAGACAGTTACACAGAAACCAAACATACAGCTACACAGCGACAGTTACACAGAAACCAAACATACAGCTACACAGAGACAGTTACACAGAAACCAAACATATAGCTACACAGAAACCAAACATACAGCTACACAGAAAACAAACATACAGCTACACAGAGACAGTTACACAGAAACCAAACATACAGCTACACAGAGACAGTTACACAGAAACCAAACATACAGCTACACAGCGACAGTTACACAGAAACCAAACATACAGCTACACAGAAAACAAACATACAGCTACACGGAAACCAAACATACAGCTACACAGAGACAGTTAAACAGAAACCAAACATACAGCTACACAGAGACAGTTACACAGAAACCAAACATACAGCTACACAGAGACAGTTACACAGAAACCAAACATACAGCTACACAGCGACAGTTACACAGGAACCAAACATACAGCTACACAGAAACCAAACATACAGCTACACAGAGACAGTTACACAGAAACCAAACATACAGCTACACAGAGACAGTTACACAGAAACCAAACATACAGCTACACAGCGACAGTTACACAGAAACCAAACATACAGCTACACAGAGAGAGTTACACAGAAACCAAACATACAGCTACACAGAGACCGTTACACAGAAACCAAACATACAGCTACACAGCGACAGGTACACAGAAACCAAACATACAGCTACACAGCGACAGTTACATAAAATCTATCCCTTACTAGATACAAAAGATGATTATGACAATCATAACAGGTTCACCAAAAAGGACACTGTGAAAAATTGTCGAGGTGAAGAATTCAAGTATACGACAAAAGGAATGTCATCAGACCCGCATAATACACACAAGTTCTGGTGTCATGAATTGACCAATTTTCTAATACCTGCTTGTGGATTATAACCCTTTCCCTAGCAGAGATGAAAGTAATTAGCCCAGCAGAGATGAAAACGATTAACTCAACAGAGATGAAAACAATTAGCCAAGCAGAGATGAAAGTGATTAGCCTCGTAGTGATGAAAGCAATTAGTCCAGCAGAGAATGTAAGTGATTAACCCAGCAGAGAATGAAAGTGATTAACCCAGCAGAGAATGTAAGTGATTAGCCCAGCAGAGATAAAAGTGATTAACCCAGCAGTGATGAAAGTGATTTGCCCAGCAGAGATAAAAGTGATTTGCCCAGCAGAGATGAAAGTGATTAACCCAGCAGAGAATGTAAGTGATTAGCCCAGCAGAGAATGAAAGTGATTAACCCAGCAGAGATGAAAGTGATTAACCCAGCAGAGATAAAAGTGATTAACCCAGCAGAGATGAAAGTGATTTGCCCAGCAGAGATAAAAGTGATTTGCCCAGCAGAGATGAAAGTGATTAACCCAGCAGAGATGAAAGAGATTAACCCAGCAGAGAATGTAAGTGATTAGCCCAGCAGAGAATGTAAGTGATTAGCCCAGCAGAGAATGAAAGTGATTAACCCAGCAGAGATGAAAGAGATTAACCCAGCAGAGAATGTAAGTGATTAGCCCAGCAGAGAATGTAAGTGATTTGCCCAGCAGAGAATGAAAGTGATTAACCAAGCAGAGATGAAAGAGATTAACCCAGCATAGAATGAAAGTGATTAAACCAGCATAGAATGAAAGTGATTAACCCAGCAGATTAACCCAGCGAGATGAAAGTGATTAACCCAGCAGAGATGAAAGGGATTAACCCAGCAGAGATAAAAGTGATTAACCCAGCAGATACAGTAGCAGAAAATAAAAACAGAGGAAGAAGAATTATTGAAATGTGAAAATTGTTACCTCTACTACCATAGATTTGCACATATAGTGCACACTGTTTTGGACATAAACTGTCATGTCAAAAAGGGGGTGCATACTGAGCAGGAACATGCCATTCTAGGGGTTATCATTCTCGAGTTCTCTGTCCGTCGGATAACCTTCCTTCACATAGTTATATTAAGAGTCGTTGGTCATATATGATAAATTGAAGACAAAAACAACTAAGAATAAAATAAATTTTGAATGTTTTGATGCAATTAATTATTTTTCTATCTATATAAAACAACTTACAACTGATAAATCCATAGAGCACTAAGTAGGAAGCAGTTCATAGCACTGAAGTTACTTCCCACTAAACACAGTCACTGATCACTTTTGATACCATGTGCGAAACAAACACAGTCACTGAAATCCTTCGAATTCCTCCTCCTTATTGTCACTGTTAAAGAAGAACGCCGGATCAAAGTCTGCCTCTGTAGATATTTTGTTGTCGTGGTAAGACAGGTCGTAATCATCCTCCATGTCAACATCAACAGCCAGTCCACTATCAGCTCATCCCATTGATGCTTTGAGGTCGGTGACCTTATGACCTATCTGGATCTGCATGGCCCACACGGGCAGTTCTATCGTACTGTCAGCAATGCCGACATATTTCCTCAACATCTTTCAGAGGTGCACCAGCTTGGTCAGACCATAGACCCAGCCAGGGACTAGTCAGCTGACACTGCTGATTGTTGATGTTTTGTCCACAAGATGTTTCAGCAACCTCTTCATCCATCTTGCTGCACCACTTCATACAGTAATAACCACTTGTCCACCCAACCTTAGTGATTTATAAATATCTACAGTGACAGGGACACCCAACCCCAGTGATTCTCAATAGATATCTACAGTGACACAGACGCCCAACCCCAGTGATTCTCAATAAATATCTACAGTGACAGGGACACCCAACCCCAGTGATTCTCAATAAATATCTACAGTGACACAGACACCCAACCCCAGTGATTCTCAATAAATATCTACAGTGACAGGGACACCCAACCCCAGTGATTCTCAATAAATATCTACAGTGACACAGACACCCAACCCCAGTGATTCTCAATAAATATCTACAGTGACACAGACGCCCAACCCCAGTGATTCTCAATAAATATCTACAGTGACACAGACACCCAACCCCAGTGATTCTCAATAAATATCTACAGTGACAGGGACACCCAACCCCAGTGATTCTCAATAAATATCTACAGTGACACAGACACCCAACCCCAGTGATTCTCAATAAATATCTACAGTGACAGGGACACCCAACCCCAGTGATTCTCAATAAATATCTACAGTGACAGGGACACCCAACCCCAGTGATTCTCAATAAATATCTACAGTGACACAGACGCCCAACCCCAGTGATTCTCAATAAATATCTACAGTGACACAGACACCCCAACCCCAGTGATTCTCAATAAATATCTACAGTGACACAGACACCCAACCCCAGTGATTCTCAATAAATATCTACAGTGACAGGGACACCCAACCCCAGTGATTCTCAATAAATATCTACAGTGACAGGGACACCCAACCCCAGTGATTCTCAATAAATATCTACAGTGACAGGGACACCCAACCCCAGTGATTCTCAATGATTCTCAGTAAATCTACAGTGACAGGGACACCCAACCCCAGTGATTCTCAATAAATATCTACAGTGACAGGGACACCCAACCCCAGTGATTCTCAATAAATATCTACAGTGACACAGACACCCAACCCCAGTGATTCTCAATAAATATCTACAGTGACAGGGACACCCAACCCCAGTGATTCTCAATAAATATCTACAGTGACACAGACACCCAACCCCAGTGATTCTCAATAAATATCTACAGTGACAGGGACACCCAACCCCAGTGATTCTCAATAAATATCTACAGTGACACAGACACCCAACCCCAGTGATTCTCAATAAATATCTACAGTGACACAGGGACACCCAACCCCAGTGATTCTCAATAAATATCTACAGTGACAGGGACACCCAACCCCAGTGATTCTCAATAAATATCTACAGTGACAGGGACACCCAACCCCAGTGATTCTCAATAAATATCTACAGTACAGTGACACAGACACCCAACCCCAGTGATTCTCAATAAATATCTACAGTGACAGGGACACCCAACCCCAGTGATTCTCAATAAATATCTACAGTGACACAGACAGCCAACCCCAGTGATTCTCAATAGATATCTACAGTGACAGGGACACCCAACCCCAGTGATTCTCAATAAATATCTGCAGTGACAGGGACACCCAACCCCAGTGATTCTCAATAAATATCTACAGTGACACAGACACCCAACCCCAGTGATTCTCAATAAATATCTACAGTGACACAGACACCCATCCCCAGTGATTCTCAATGAATATCTACAGTGACAGGGACACCCAAACAAAGATGTTGTTATTTTTCAGCCAGGTCAAAACATTTAACATGGTAATCACAGTAGCCATTTTGTATTATAATTATGCAAATGTTTTTCATGAACAGAACCTACCATTTTTGAGTTTCTGATACTTTCAAGTAATGTTCGAAGATTTTTTAAGACCATCAAATTCTGTGATGGTTGTTGATATCAGGGCCATGACCCTGTTGTTGTAAGTAATTATCATTTCTGTAAATATGTAATATTATTTATAAAGCATACAACTGAAATATCTTTCAGTATTTCATACCACTTTCAGTCTAAACTATGAAGAAAAGATTTTCTGTACAAAATGGGTCAAAAAACTTATTTTCACATAGCCGAGTAAAACATTCATGATTGCTGTTTTCATTTATTTGTGGTATTTTTGTTATGAAATTGAAAATGAGCTGTCAAGCTAATAAATAGGATCTTGGAATGTTGAAACTTAGCTAAGTCTACAGTAGGAAATGACGTTGACCGCTACTTAAGGTCACCCTTTTTCGAAGCAAATTTACTGCAGTAAAACTCCAATAAAACTCCACTGTCAGTGGACAGTCTAGGCCTGTTGACAGCTTGTTTAGACTATTGTCACTGTCAGTGGACAGTCTAGGCCTGTTGACAGCTTGTTTAGACTATTGTCACTGTCAGTGGACAGTCTAGGCCTGTGGGCAGCTTGTTTAGACTATTGTCACTGTCAGTGGACAGTCTAGGCCTGTTGACAGCTTGTTTAGACTATTGTCACTGTCAGTGGACAGTCTAGGCCTGTTGACAGATTGTTTAGACTATTGTCACTGTCAGTGGACAGTCTAGGCCTGTTGACAGCTTGTTTAGACTATTGCCACTGTCAGTGGACAGTCTAGGCCTGTGGGCAGCTTGTTTAGACTATTGCCACTGTCAGTGGACAGTCTAGGCCTGTTGATAGCTTGTTTAGACTATTGTCACTGTCAGTGGACAGTCTAGGCCTGTTGACAGCTTGTTTAGACTATTGTCACTGTCAGTGGACAGTCTAGGCCTGTTGACAGCTTGTTTAGACTATTGCCACTGTCAGTGGACAGTCTAGGCCTGTGGGCAGCTTGTTTAGACTATTGCCACTGTCAGTGGACAGTCTAGGCCTGTTGACAGCTTGTTAAGATTATTGCCACTGTCAGTGGACAGTCTAGGCCTGTTGACAGCTTGTTAAGATTATTGCCACTGTCAGTGGACAGTCTAGGCCTGTTGACAGCTTGTTTAGACTATTGCCACTGTCAGTGGACAGTCTAGGCCTGTTGACAGCTTGTTTAGACTATTGCCACTGTCAGTGGACAGTCTAGGCCTGTGGGCAGCTTGTTTAGACTATTGCCACTGTCAGTGGACAGTCTAGGCCTGTTGACAGCTTGTTTAGACTATTGCCACTGTCAGTGGACAGTCTAGGCCTGTGGGCAGCTTGTTAAGATTATTGTCACTGGACAGTCTAGGCCTGTTGACAGCTTGATAAGATTATTGCCACTGTCAGTGGACAGTCTAGGCCTGTTGACAGCTTGTTAAGATTATTGCCACTGTCAGTGGACAGTCTAGGCCTGTGGGCAGCTTGTTTAGACTATTGCCACTGTCAGTGGACAGTCTAGGCCTGTTGACAGCTTGTTTAGACTATTGCCACTGTCAGTGGACAGTCTAGGCCTGTGGGCAGCTTGTTAAGATTATTGTCACTGGACAGTCTAGGCCTGTTGACAGCTTGATAAGATTATTGCCACTGTCAGTGGACAGTCTAGGCCTGTTGACAGCTTGTTAAGATTATTGCCACTGTCAGTGGACAGTCTAGGCCTGTGGGCAGCTTGTTTAGACTATTGTCACTGTCAGTGGACAGTCTAGGCCTGTGGGCAGCTTGTTTAGACTATTGTCACTGTCAGTTAACTGTCTAGGCCTGTGGGCAGCTTGTTTAGACTATTGCCACTGTCAGTGGACAGTCTAGGCCTGTGGGCAGCTTGTTTAGACTATTGTCACTGTCAGTTAACTGTCTAGGCCTGTGGGCAGCTTGTTAAGATTATCGCCACTGTCAGTTGACTGTCTAGGCCTGTGGGCAGCTTGTTAAGATTATTGCCACTGTCAGTGGACAGTCTAGGCCTGTGGGCAGCTTGTTAAGATTATTGCCACTGTCAGTGGACAGTCTAGGCCTGTGGGCAGCTTGTTTAGACTATTGTCACTGTCAGTTGACAGTCTAGGCCTGTGGGCAGCTTGTTTAGACTATTGTCACTGTCAGTTGACAGTCTAGGCCTGTGGGCAGCTTGTTTAGACTATTGTCACTGTCAGTGGACAGTCTAGGCCTGTGGGCAGCTTGTTAAGATTATCGCCACTGTCAGTTGACTGTCTAGGCCTGTGGGCAGCTTGATAAGATTATTGCCACTGTCAGTGGACAGTCTAGGCCTGTGGGCAGCTTGTTAAGATTATCGCCACTGTCAGTTGACTGTCTAGGCCTGTGGGCAGCTTGTTAAGATTATCGCCACTGTCAGTGGACAGTCTAGGCCTGTGGGCAGCTTGTTAAGATTATTGCCACTGTCAGTGGACAGTCTAGGCCTGTGGGCAGCTTGTTAAGATTATCGCCACTGTCAGTGGACAGTCTAGGCCTGTGGGCAGCTTGTTAAGATTATTGCCACTGTCAGTGGACAGTCTAGGCCTGTTGACAGCTTGTTAAGATTATTGCCACTGTCAGTGGACAGTCTAGGCCTGTTGACAGCTTGTTTAGACTATTGCCACTGTCAGTGGACAGTCTAGGCCTGTTGACAGCTTGTTTAGACTATTGCCACTGTCAGTGGACAGTCTAGGCCTGTGGGCAGCTTGTTTAGACTATTGCCACTGTCAGTGGACAGTCTAGGCCTGTTGACAGCTTGTTTAGACTATTGCCACTGTCAGTGGACAGTCTAGGCCTGTGGGCAGCTTGTTAAGATTATTGTCACTGGACAGTCTAGGCCTGTTGACAGCTTGATAAGATTATTGCCACTGTCAGTGGACAGTCTAGGCCTGTTGACAGCTTGTTAAGATTATTGCCACTGTCAGTGGACAGTCTAGGCCTGTGGGCAGCTTGTTTAGACTATTGTCACTGTCAGTGGACAGTCTAGGCCTGTGGGCAGCTTGTTTAGACTATTGTCACTGTCAGTTAACTGTCTAGGCCTGTGGGCAGCTTGTTTAGACTATTGCCACTGTCAGTGGACAGTCTAGGCCTGTGGGCAGCTTGTTTAGACTATTGTCACTGTCAGTTAACTGTCTAGGCCTGTAGGCAGCTTGTTAAGATTACCGCCACTGTCAGTTGACTGTCTAGGCCTGTGGGCAGCTTGCTAAGATTATTGCCACTGTCAGTGGACAGTCTAGGCCTGTGGGCAGCTTGTTAAGATTATTGCCACTGTCAGTGGACAGTCTAGGCCTGTGGGCAGCTTGTTTAGACTATTGTCACTGTCAGTTGACAGTCTAGGCCTGTGGGCAGCTTGTTTAGACTATTGTCACTGTCAGTGGACAGTCTAGGCCTGTGGGCAGCTTGTTAAGATTACCGCCACTGTCAGTTGACTGTCTAGGCCTGTGGGCAGCTTGCTAAGATTATTGCCACTGTCAGTGGACAGTCTAGGCCTGTGGGCAGCTTGTTAAGATTATCGCCACTGTCAGTTGACTGTCTAGGCCTGTGGGCAGCTTGTTAAGATTATCGCCACTGTCAGTGGACAGTCTAGGCCTGTGGGCAGCTTGTTAAGATTATTGCCACTGTCAGTGGACAGTCTAGGCCTGTGGGCAGCTTGTTAAGATTATCGCCACTGTCAGTGGACAGTCTAGGCCTGTGGGCAGCTTGTTAAGATTATTGCCACTGTCAGTGGACAGTCTAGGCCTGTGGGCAGCTTGTTAAGATTATCGCCACTGTCAGTGGACAGTCTAGGCCTGTGGGCAGCTTGTTAAGATTATTGCCACTGTCAGTGGACAGTCTAGGCCTGTGGGCAGCTTGTTAAGATTATTGCCACTGTCAGTGGACAGTCTAGGCCTGTGGGCAGCTTGTTAAGATTATCGCCACTGTCAGTGGACAGTCTAGGCCTGTGGGCAGCTTGTTAAGATTATTGCCACTGTCAGTGGACAGTCTAGGCCTGTGGGCAGCTTGTTAAGATTATCGCCACTGTCAGTTGACTGTCTAGGCTAACACATTTCTCTTGTTACAGTAAAGGACAAACAATTATTGCCTCTAATTGACTTTTATATCACAATTAAATCAAAGTAACGTGTATATTAGTGGACCAATGCTTTTAATACCCTGATCAAAAATACATGGATTGTTAGTGGCTATTGTTACTTAATAATGTCTGGGGATCGTCAGAATGTGTGTGGTTATCATTTAGTACCACACCACTGGTATTGATTGTTTCTCTTTCACAGGAAGCGCAGTGAAGAGCTGGTTCTAAAGGCTCCTACACACCAGGGCAACAGGCTGTGTTAGAGCAGTTTGGTGCACTGAGCCGAGGCTGTGTGTCGTCTGTGTGTCTTGGTGTTGCTAATCTGTGTTTTAGCGGGGCTGTGCTGCCCAAAACAGATTAAGGTGGTCAAGTTCCTACACTTATTTGGACAGAATGGATCGCTGGACATGTCCAAATGACCGTCAGCTAGCCTTGCGTGCCAAGTAAGTGATTATGTGTGTCCTCATCATTGATACACTTGTGTGTCTACTTCAGTAACACATGTATGTGTCTACATCAGTGATATATGTGTGTCTTCATCAGTGATATATGTGTGTCTACATCAGTGATATTTGTGTGCCTATATCTGTGATATATGTGTGTCTACATCAGTGATATATGTGTGTCTACATCAGTGATATATGTGTGTCTACATCAGTGATATATGTGTGTCTACATCAGTGATATATGTGTATCCACATCTGTGATATATGTGTCTACATCTGTGATATATATGTGTACATCAGTGATATATGTGTGTCTACATCAGTGATATATGTGTGTCTACATCAGTGATATATGTGTGTCTACATCAGTGATATATGTGTGTCTAAAACAGTGATATATGTGTGTCTACATCAGTGATATATGTGTATCTACATCTGATATATGTGTGTCTACATCAGTGATATATGTGTGTCTATATCAGTGATATATGTGTGTGTACATCAGTGATATATGTGTATCTACATCAGTGATATATGTGTGTCCACATCAGCGATATATGTGTGTCTACATAGTGATATATGTGTGTGTACATCAGTGATATATGTGTATCTACATCAGTGATATATGTGTGTTTACATCAGTGATATATGTGTGTCTACATCAGTGATATATGTGTGTCTACATCAGTGATATATGTGTGTCTACATCAGTGATATATGTGTGTGTACATCAGTGATATATGTGTGTCTACATCAGTGATATATGTGTGTTTACATCAGCGATATATGTGTGTCTACATAGTGATATATGTGTGTGTACATCAGTGATATATGTGTATCTACATCAGTGATATATGTGTGTTTACATCAGTGATATATGTGTATCTACATCAGTGATATGTGTGTCTACATCAGTGATATGTGTGTCTACATCAGTGATATATATGCATCTACTTGTATGAGTTTATATAAATGGCACAGTGATATGTGTGTCTACATCAGTGATATGTGTGTCTTCATTAGTTTATATAAATGGCACTTCATTACTAAATTTTGATAAGATATACAGTATTATGGCAGGATGTTGTCTGTTATATACTATTATTTGTCTGGATATTTCCCCTCATTTTTGTTATTTTCAAACTTGGTAAACTAAATCACAATGACATGAAGTTGTCTTTTCCTAGATTACAGTTTAATTCGACTGTATTTATAAGAGTTGCCTCCTCTTGTTTTTTTCATAATGTTTATCTAGTCCGAATCTCATCTTTCAGTTTTCAACCAATTCCTTTCAAACTTGGTTTAATCACCATGACATGAAGTTGTTTTCTTTAATGTCAGTTTAATTTGACTGTATTTGTAAGAGTTTTTCACCCCTTGTTTTCATAATGTCAATCTTCTCGGAAGATCATCTCTTCCACTTTTCAACCAATTTCTCTTGAACGTTATTGGCTCAATCACCATGATATACAAATTGGTTTTCTTTCAGAGCAGTGTGATTCAGTAATATTTGAAGGAGTGATTGCCCTTGATTTTTTCGACAGTTTAAATGTCTCCTTCATCAGTTTGTCTAAATTTTTCATCATCTATTTAAGACTTGGTGTAATTTGTCATTAAAACATAATGCACTGTTTTCTGTCTTGACATTTCGACACCTTATTTCCTTGTCTTTGGCATGTGATATATTGTTCTGTGCTCTTGTTTTTTATTGCATTTTCTGTATGAATCACATTGTTTTTTCAGACTTGGTACTGGCTGGTCTGTTCACACCAATCGACTTGGCATGTTCAACAAGGGAGATAACCTTAGCATTGATGAACAAGAACATATCATGAACGTGATATGTAAGGCCGACTTCCTGGAGCGTAATGAACAAGAGCGTATTGGGTTTGTATACACATCATTATAACTTGAGAGCTCAAAATGTTTACATGATTATGATAAAGAAATTTATCTTCATTTTCACAAATGAGGATTTTATATTAAGCATAATTGCTGAAAAAATTTCAACATTTGTTATAAAATTTGAGTATTATCATATAGAAATATTTAAATTTCTTCTGTTGATACTTGGTTTCAAAATTGAAAGATGGCCTTTAAGGTCCAGGTGTTAATGTGTTACAGGCGCCTGGTGGAGAAGTTAGATAATATGAAGAAAAATGCCATAGGTAATGGCACTACACAGTGTATTCTTTGTGGTGATGAGTTTGGACTCCTTGGGGCCTCCCCTACATTTTGCGATGACTGCAAAAATGTAAGTTATATTTGATTTGTATTTTGAAGTAAAAACTGGATTTTAAGATTTTTATAAAAACTGTCTAAAAAAATGAAAATTTGATGACCAGTAACCATTGTGCTTCGTCTGTCGATTTCTGCTTTTCACTGTTTACAATGCACTATCTGTTGTGCATAAACTTTTGACATTTTAAACTCCTTTTAAAGTTCTACCAGTGGGATTGAGCTCAAACTTACACAAAATGAACCTGAGATGGCCGCCATCTTGAAAAACATATTTTAAACTTATTCTCCAATTCCACTGGTGCCATTGAGCTAAACATTGATGGAAATGTTAAGGAAAGGTAGCTAACAAAATGTTGTTATCTTTCAACCAACTTTGTCAAAATTTTGACATGGCAGTCTGGGAGGCCATTTTGTAACATGATTGCACAATCATAGTTTTCCTGTGCAACACCTACTTCAAATTTCTTTTCAAGTTTCACCAGTTGGATTGAGCTCCAATTTCACTGTCAAAAAAATAGGTAACACTTGTTACAGTTACCTACTCCTTACCAAAACTACCATCTGCATCATGGAAAACAGCTTCTTAGTAAGATTTCATTCAAAGTAGAAAAAAGATTAAGCCTTTTCTCTGCTGACAGTATTGTAGTCAGATAACCATTAAGGCTCGTAGGCCTCTTGTTTATGAGACCTGCTTCGCAGACTTAGTACCTTAACCACTCTCTTAAGTTTGATTATCAGCTAATTTCACAAATATCTAATGAGGCAGCTGTGACCTGAATGGCTGATTGCTTTGCAAAGAATGTCTTCTGAAGTAATAATAACAGACCTTTAAAACAGTATAAACATATCTCTTAATGATTCAGAAAGTTATACGTCACAAAATCATGGAACAAGAACAAGAATGATAAGAAACAGAACATTGGATCTTTTCACCAGTTAGTGAAAAAACCTAGTAAACGTATGATAGTAAATCTCTAAAAATGTTTTCAGAAATCTGGGCCCGAATTCATGAAACCGTTCTCATGCTAAAGCATGAATTTTGTACTCAAGCCTTATGTTTTAAGTTAAAAATTGATAAATCCGGCTGATTTTACCAAAGATTTAAAAGTAATTTTGAAAGGACTTCAAGTCAAAGTTATATTCAATGTTTATATTTGACATTTGTATTATTTTATATGATTTAGGTGAATTATAAAAAGGTTTTCTTGAGCACAAAATGTATGCTTGAGCGTTAGAATGGTTTCGTGAATACGGGCCCTGATGTTAGAAGCTATTACTGGTTCTGATTTGTTTTACTGCTGGTAATTTTCTGACTAGTAGATGTTGTAATGTAGTTTATTAATGTGTATAAACCATTACACTGATTTGTCATACTTGAGTGGTAATAGAATCATTAATTGATCCAGTATCACAGAAATTAATTGACAAACATTCTTTTGTTACCATTGGGTAAAAGAAGGGAATATAAAGGTGTGATAAGCTGATTTTAATATTCACAGTGTTATGCTACTAAACTGTTTTTATATTAACCACGTTTAACAGAACTTTAAGCTGAAAATTACTAATAAATGGTTTCAATACTTTAGTTTCCTATTCCTCACAATGTAACTATTTTACCAATAAACATGGAGGGGGAATCTTGACTCTATTCTTGTTCTTCAGTTCTTTTAAGATTGATATCTAACAAAACAGTCACATCAGACAATGAACAATGAAATCTGTCCAAGTAGGGTAAATATTTCAAGTTTTGATTTGTGTTACAGGCTGTGTGCACCAAGTGTGGAATTGACACTTATAATTGTCACAAGCTACCACTCTGGCTGTGTAAGATCTGCAGTGAAAACAGAGAGGTCAGTACCTACTGTAAACAGTCCCCCATACAGACATCTACTGTAAACAGTCCTCCATACAGACGTCTACTGTAAACAGTCCCCCATACAGACATCTACTGTAAACAGTCCCCCATACAGACATCTACTGTAAACAGTCCCCCATACAGACATCTCCTGTAAACAGTCCCCATACAGACATCTACTGTAAACAGTCCCCATACAGACATCTACTGTAAACAGTCCCCATACAGACATCTCCTGTAAACAGTCCCCCATACAGACATCTACTGTAAACAGTCCCCCATACAGACATCTCCTGTAAACAGTCTCCATACAGTCTCCATACAGACATCTACTGTAAACAGTCCCCCATACAGACATCTACTGTAAACAGTCCCCCATACAGACATCTACTGTAAACAGTCCCCATACAGACATCTACTGTAAACAGTCCCCCAAACAGACATCACCTGTAAACAGTCCCCATATCAGTAAACAGTCCCCCATACAGACATCTACTGTAAACAGTCCCCATACAGACATCTCCTGTAAACAGTCCCCCATACAGACATCTACTGTAAACAGTCCCCCATACAGACATCTCCTGTAAACAGTCTCCATACAGACATCTACTGTAAACAGTCCCCCATACAGACATCTACTGTAAACAGTCCCCCATACTGTAAACAGTCCCCCATACAGACATCTACTGTAAACAGTCCCCCATACAGACATCTACTGTAAACAGTCCCCCATACAGACATCTACTGTAAACAGTCCCCATACAGACATCTACTGTAAACAGTCCCCCATACAGACATCTACTGTAAACAGTCCCCCATACAGACATCTACTGTAAACAGTCCCCATACAGACATCTACTGTAAACAGTCCCCATACAGACATCTACTGTAAACAGTCCCCATACAGACATCTACTGTAAACAGTCCCCCATACAGACATCTCCTGTAAACAGTCCCCATACAGACATCTCCTGTAAACAGTCTCCATACAGACATCTCCTGTAAACAGTCCCCATACAGACATCTCCTGTAAACAGTCCCCATACAGACATCTACTGTAAACAGTCCCCATACAGACATCTACTGTAAACAGTCCCCATACAGACATCTACTGTAAACAGTCCCCCATACAGACATCTACTGTAAACAGTCCCCATACAGACATAAACAGTCCCCCATACAGACATCCCATACAGACATCTACTGTAAACAGTCCCCATACAGACATCTACTGTAAACAGTCCCCCATACAGACATCTACTGTAAACAGTCCCCCGTACAGACATCTACTGTAAACAGTCTCCATACAGACATCTACTGTAAACAGTCCCCATACAGACATCTACTGTAAACAGTCCCCCATACAGACATCTACTGTAAACAGTCCCCATACAGACATCTACTGTAAACAGTCCCCCATACAGACATCTACTGTAAACAGTCCCCCATACAGACATCTACTGTAAACAGTCCCCCATACAGACATCTACTGTAAACAGTCCCCATACAGACATCTACAGTAAACAGTCCCCCATACAGACATCTACTGTAAACAGTCCCCCATACAGACATCTACTGTAAACAGTCCCCCATACAGACATCTACTGTAAACAGTCCCCCATACAGACATCTACTGTAAACAGTCCCCCATACTGACATCTCCTGTAAACAGTCCCCATACAGACACTCTGGGGATAAAATCTAATTTTTCCGAATTGTGTATGTTTTAACTGTCAGTTTGATAGTATTGATCTTATTTCTGGCTGAAATGTGCTAATGCTGTGGCACATCGTCTGTTGTCCAACATCAACTTTATCCTTTAAACAACTTCCTTCAATAACCAATATACTAGATGTTGTGATATTTGACTGGTATGTTCATATGATGAAACCGGACAAAGTTTGTAAAAAGAAATGACCTTTACCTATTTTCAAGGTTACAAAGGTCAAATTTGTTAATACATATAAATGACTTCTTTTCATGAACCAAAAAGCCCAAAGGCCTGATATTTGTGATGTTCGTAGGATGAAGCTCAACAAAGTTTGGAAAAAGAAATGACCTTAACCTACGTTCAAGGTCACATGGGTCAAATTTGTTAAACATTTGAATGACTTCTTATGAAATAAAAGGTCTAGAGGCATGATATTTGGCTGGTTTATATATATATACCAGGTGAGTCCTGCAGACGCATTGGACCTCTTGTTTTTTGAAAACCATGGAAACTGCATCTCAATAAAATACAGGGTTTTACAGTATCATTTGACCAGTAAATCAGTTTGACACCAGATATATTATTGGGGTCATTGTTACAGGTTTGGAAAAGATCTGGAGCCTGGTTCTTTAAAGGTCTTCCAAAGTATACAATACCTGAAAAGAAGACAATGGAGGCTACAAAGGTCACCACAAGTAAAGGTCGTTCAGAATCCCGAGGTGTTCATAGGGGGCAGCCTGGTTCTACACGTAATTATAACACATGGAGCAGAGGACGAGGGAGCCATGGTAGGTATCTTAGGTGTAATATTAACCACAACAGTTACAGATTCTATTTATCTGTGTCTGACATCAGTTACAGATTCTGTTTATCTGTGTCTGACATCAGTTATAGATTCTGTTTATCTGTACCACACATTAGTTACAAATTTTGTTTACCTGTATCTCACAACAGGTAAACTGTACCTCACAACTGCAATAGATCCTATTAATCAACAACAAATACAGATGCTATTTATCTATAACAGTTACAGATCCTATTTATCTTCAACAATTACAGATCCTATTTATCTACAACAATTACAGATCCTATTTATCTTCAACAATTACATATCCTATTTATCTACAACAGTTAAATATCCTATTTATTGACAATAATTACATATCCTATTTATCTACAACAATTACAGATCCTATTTATCGACAACAGTAACATATCCTATTTATCTACAACAATTACAGGTCCTATTTATCTACAACAGTTACATATCCTATTTATTCTACAACAATTACAGATCCTATTTATCTACAACAATTACAGATCCTATTTATCTACAACAATTACAGATCCTATTTATCTATAAAAGTTACAGATCCTATTTATCTACAACAACTACAGATCCTATTTATCTACAACAGTTACAGATTCTATTTATCTACATTAGTTACAGATCCTATTTATTGACAAAAGTTACAAATCCTATTTATATACAACAATTACAGATCCTATTTATTGACGACAGTTACAGATCCTATTTATCTACATTAGTTACAGACCCTATTTATTGACAAAAGTTACAAATCCTATTTATCTACAACAATTACAGATCCTATTTATCTACAAAAATTACAGGTCCCATTTATTTGTAACAGTTACAGATCCTATTTATTTACAACAATTACAGATCCTATTTATTGACAAAAGTTACAAATCCTATTTATCTACAACAATTACAGATTCTATTTTCTACAACAATTACAGGTCCCATTTATTTATAACAGTTACAGATCCTATTTATCTACAACAATTACAGATCCTATTTATCTACAACAGTAACATATCCTATTTATTCTACAACAATTACAGGTCCTATTTATCTATAAAAGTTACAGATCCTATTTATTTACAACAATGACAGATCCTATTTATCTATAAAAGTTACAGATCCCATTTATCTACATTAGTTATAGATCTAAAGTGCCATTGGTAGCTTTTTGTATACAAAAGACAAATAAGAAGGATATAAATTAGCATGACATTAGATTATGATCTGACTATACCGTAGAAGTCATTGTATCACCAAAGTGAGTAAGTACTACAGATATAAAGTAGGCTACTTATATAGAGCTTCAAGCAGCTGCAGTTGCATACGTCATGGAATATGATATTTCTTATGAAAAATGAAAGTATTAATTGAGTATACTGCTATCTATGTATTGATCAATAGAACAGCACTGACTATTGCCCTAGGTGCCCTTAGGTGTGGAAGGTTTGAACGTTACAAACTTGAAGCATGAATAAATTCAAATTAATGTAAGGTATGGGATGTAATATGATTCTGTACTGGTCAACTTTGTTGCTTCTGCCAACAAAACCCTCCCTTGACCAGTTTTCATGTTTCATGTATTGCGAGTTTAGAGAAGTTCCATTGTGTTAAATGTTTTCAGCCTATGGTGAAAGTAGTGAACAGGATTCTGAAAGTAGCTCCGAAGATGAGATTAGTATTGGCAAGCGCAAGATTGGTCGCAACAGGGGGGATTCAGGTGAGTACAGTTTCCAGAGTGGGACCATGGTGAGTGTTATTTTCAGGGGAGTTTTAGGTGAGTGTAATTTTCAGGAGAGATTCTGGTGGGCTTAATTTCAGATGAGATTCTAATGAGAGTAATTTCAGGAGAGATTTGTGTGAGAGCTAATTCAGGAAAGATTCTGGTGAATTAACTTTCAGGAGAGATTCTAATTGGTGCAATTTTCAGGAGATTTGTGAGAGAGCTAATTCAGGATTCTGGTGAGTGTAATTTTGAGAGGCGATTCTTTTGAGTGCAATTTAAGGGGAGATTCTGGTGAGAGTAATTTTCAGGAGAGATTCTGGTGAGAGTAATTTTCAGGAGAGATTCTGGTGAGAGTAATTTTCAGGAGAGATTCTGGTGAGAGTAATTTTCAGGAGAGATTCTGGTGAGAGTAATTTTCAGGAGAGATTCTGGTGAGATTAATTTTCAGGAGAGATTCTGATGAGTGTAATTTTGAGGGGAGCTTCTGGTGAGTGTAATTTTCAGCGGAGCTTCTGGTGAATACAATTTTCAGGAGACATTTTGGTGAGTGTAATTTTCAGGGGAGTTTCTGGTGAGTGCAATTTTGAGGGGAGCTTCTGGTGAGTGTAATTTTCAGCAGAGCTTCTGGTGAATACAATTTTCAGGAGAGATTTTGGTGAGTGTAATTTTCAGGGGAGCTCATGGTGAGTGCAATTTTGAGCGGAGCTTCTGGTGAGTGTAATTTTCAGCGGAGCTTCTGGTGAGTGTAATTTTCAGCGGAGCTTCTGGTGAATACAATTTTCAGGAGACATTATGGTGAGTGTAATTTTCAGGGGAGCTTCTGGGGAGTGTATTTTCATTGGAGCTTCTGGTGAATACAATTTTCAGCAGAGCTTCTGGGGAGTGTAATTTTGAGCGGAGCTTCTGGTGAAAACAATTTTCAGCAGAGCTTCTGGTGAATACAATTTTCAGCAGAGCTACTGGTGAGTGTAATTTTCAGCAGAGCTTGTGGTGAATACAATTTTCAGGAGAGATTTTGGTGAGTGTAATTTTCAGCAGAGGTTTGGTGAATACAATTTTCAGGAGAGATTTTGGTGAGTGTAATTTTCAGCGGAGCTTCTGGTGAGTGTAATTTTCAGCGGAGCTTCTGGTGAGTGTAATTTTCAGCGGAGCTTCTGGTGAATACAATTTTCAGGAGACATTATGGTGAGTGTAATTTTCAGGGGAGCTTCTGGGGAGTGTATTTTCATTGGAGCTTCTGGTGAATACAATTTTCAGCAGAGCTTCTGGGGAGTGTAATTTTGAGCGGAGCTTCTGGTGAAAACAATTTTCAGCAGAGCTTCTGGTGAATACAATTTTCAGCAGAGCTACTGGTGAGTGTAATTTTGAGCGGAGCTTCTGGTGAATACAATTTTCAGGAGACATTATGGTGAGTGTAATTTTCAGGGGAACTTCTGGTGAGTGATATTTTCAGGGGAGCTTCTGGGGAGTGTATTTTCATTGGAGCTTCTGGTGAATACAATTTTCAGCAGAGCTTCTTGTGAGTGTAATTTTCAGCGGAGCTTCTGGTGAATTCAATTTTCAGCAGAGCTTGTGGTGAATACAATTTTCAGCAGAGCTTCTGGTGAGTGTAATTTTCAGCAGAGCTTCTGGTGAATACAATTTTCAGGAGAGATTTTGGTGAGTGTAATTTTCAGCAGAGCTTCTGGTGAATACAATTTTCAGGAGAGATTTTGGTGAGTGTAATTTTCAGCAGAGCTTCTGGTGAATTCAATTTTCAGGAGAGATTTTGGTGAGTGTAATTTTCAGCAGAGCTTCTGGTGAATACAATTTTCAGGAGAGCTTCTGGTGAGTGTAATTTTCAGCAGAGCTTGTGGTGAATACAATTTTCAGGAGAGATTTTGGTGAGTGTAATTTTCAGCAGAGGTTTGGTGAATACAATTTTCAGGAGAGATTTTGGTGAGTGTAATTTTCAGCAGAGCTTCTGGTGAGTGTAATTTTCAGGAGAGATTCTGATGAGTGCAATTTTTCAGGCGAGACTTGGGTTTCTGTGGATACCAGAAACATGAGAACCTTACAATATTGATCTACTGGGTGTTCTCTGTGCCTGTTTCCTAGGATTTGTTTTGAATGTCACAGTTACAAAAAAGATCAAGTATTTCCTGAGTAAAACTGTCATTACAAAAATTCACTAAGATTTACCAATGACTGCCACTGTTGCTGGAATTATGAAATTCAATTAATTGATTGTCTATTTTATAAATAAAAGTTCAAAACAATCAAGAGTATCTTGGTGTGGAGCATGAATATGTAGTACTAGTTTGCTTCCATTTATATTGAATGATCACAGATTGATCACAGATTGATCACAGATTGAATGATCACAGATTGAATGATCACAGATTGATCACAGATTGATCACAGATTGAATGATCACAGATTGAATGATCACAGATTGAATGATCACAGATTGATCACAGATTGAATGATCACAGATTGAATGATCACAGATTGAATGATCACAGATTGAATGATCACAGATTGATCACAGATTGAATGATCACAGATTGAATGATCACAGATTGATCACAGATTGAATGATCACAGATTGATCACAGATTGAATGATCACAGATTGAATGATCACAGATTGAATGATCACAGATTGAATGATCACAGATTGATCACAGATTGATCACAGATTGAATGATCACAGATTGATCACAGATTGAATGATCACAGATTGAATGATCACAGATTGATCACAGATTGAATGATCACAGATTGAATGATCACAGATTGAATGATCACAGATTGAATGATCACAGATTGAATGATCACAGATTGATCACAGATTGAATGATCACAGATTGATCACAGATTGAATGATCACAGATTGATCACAGATTGATCACAGATTGAATGATCACAGATTGAATGATCACAGATTGAATGATCACAGATTGAATGATCACAGATTGAATGATCACAGATTGAATGATCACAGATTGAATGATCACAGATTGATCACAGATTGAATGATCACAGATTGAATGATCACAGATTGATCACAGATTGATCACAGATTGAATGATCACAGATTGAATGATCACAGATTGAATGATCACAGATTGAATGATCACAGATTGAATGATCACAGATTGAATGATCACAGATTGAATGATCACAGATTGATCACAGATTGAATGATCACAGATTGATCACAGATTGAATGATCACAGATTGATCACAGATTGAATGATCACAGATTGATCACAGATTGAATGATCACAGATTGAATGATCACAGAATGATCACAGATTGAATGATCACAGAATGATCACAGATTGAATGATCACAGATTGAATGATCACAGATTGAATGATCACAGATTGAATGATCACAGATTGATCACAGATTGATTGATCACAGATTGAATGATCACAGATTGAATGATCACAGATTGAATGATCACAGATTGATCACAGATTGAATGATCACAGAATGATCACAGATTGAATGATCACAGATTGATCACAGATTGAATGATCACAGATTGAATGATCACAGATTGAATGATCACAGATTTACCCTCATTGAAGATAACAGAGATAAGATTTGTTCACTAATGAAAAACAGTTTACAAGCCTTGGATAGGTTTGATGTTACTGGAATCCTGTTTTATTTCAGCAGAAAGTGATAATATCAGCATCACTAGTTCAGCCAGTGGTCAGTATTATAGTGGACATAATCCAAAGGAGATGCGTGGCAGTGTGACCAGTAGTAATTATCATGGTGGCCAGCTTAGTGCCACTGAGAGTAGCCGTGGTGACGACCTTCATGAGGATACAGACAGTGAAAGTGTTGGAGGTAGGTGTTCTGTGGGCGTTGGAGATGGGGAGGGATATAAATGGCCATCTGAGACCTGAGTAGACCTGACCTGAATGGTTCAATGACCACTGCTGTAATGTTGTACTGACCACTGACATATCACACTATCCTAGTCTGTTGTCCTCTATATGACAGATACACAAATTCTCATCTATTGCTTATATATAAAAGTTATATTAAATTCCAGCTTATGCCACCTGCTTTAGGGCATTAGACACAAGCCTTGTGAAAAGAATGTCACCTAGTAATGGGAAGTAGACATTTTTGAACAGCCCCAGCTGGTTCACGGCAGTTGTGAACAGTGCCACCTGGTTCACGGCAGTCGTGAACAGTGCGACCTGGTTCACGGCAGTTGTGAACAGCACCAGCTGGTTCATGGCAGTTGTGAACAGCACCACCTGGTTCACGGCAATTGTGAACAGCGCCAGCTGGTTCACAGCAGTTGTGAACAGGGCCAGCTGGTTCCTGGCAGTTGTGAACAGCACCAGCTGGTTCATGGCAGTTGTGAACAATGCCACCTGGTTCATGGCAGTTATGAACAGTGCCACCCGGTTCATGGCAGTTGTGAACAGTGCCACCTGGTTCAGGGCAGTTGTAAACAGTGCCACCTGGTTCATGACAGTTGTGAACAGTGCCACCTGGTTCATGGCAGTTGTGAGCAGTGCTACCTGGTTCATGTCAGATGAATGAAAACAAAGCCATCTGATTGTGAAGATAGTCTGTGTAGTTAGCACAACCTGTTTGTTTGCAGAAACTGTGTTGTGTTGTTATATTGAAGGTTATTGTGTCAGTATATAGAGAGTTATTGTGTCAGTATATAGAGGGTTATTGTGTCAGTATATAGAGGGTTATTGTCAGTATATAGAGGGTTATTGTGTCAGTATATAGAGTTATTGTGTCAGTATATAGAGGGTTATTGTGTCAGTATATTGAAGGTTATTGTGTCAGTATATAGAGGGTTATTGTGTCAGTATATAGAGGGTTATTGTGTCAGTATATTGAAGGTTATTGTGTCAGTATATAGAGGGTTATTGTGTCAGTATATAGAGGGTTATTGTGTCACTGTATAGTGGGTTATTTTGTCAGTGTATAGAGGGTAATTTTGTTAGTATATAGTGGGTTATTTTGTCAGTATATAGTGGGTTATTTTGTAAGTATATAGTGAGTTATTTTGTTAGTATATAGTGGGTTATTTTTTTAGTGTAAAGTGGGTTATTGTGTAAGTGTATAGTGGGTTGTTGTGTCAGTGTATAGTGGGTTATTGTGTCAGTGTATAGTTGGTTGTTGTGTCAGTATATAGTGGGTTATTGTGTCAGTATGTAGTGGGTCATTTTGTCAGTATATATAGGATTTTTGTTTCAGTATAAAGAGGGTTGTTGTGTCAGCATACTGAGGGTTGTTGTGTCAGCATACTGAGGGTTGTTGTGTCAGTATACTTAGGGTTATTGTGTCAGTTTATAGGTTATGGTGTCAGTATATAGAAGGTAATGTGTAACCATATAGAAGGCTGTTTTGTCAGTATATAGAGTGTTGTTGTCAGTAAATAAAGGGAAATTGTGTCAGTATATTGAGTTGTGTCAATATTTAGAGGATTTAGAATATGTTGCATATGATTTATAATGTATAGTGAGTAGCCGTTCGTTTATCAGACTTAAAAACTGGTCTAGAAAGTAGTGCTGAATCATCTACTCATCCCTCTCATGTTTATTACCTGCTGTAATCCTGCTTACTGGTGAAATAGCTAGAGTGATCTCCCTTTGTAGTGTCTGCTCATATGATCTGTATCTGTAAAACTGTGCTATATTCAACCTCTCTCTGACTCTAATGCCCTCTGACAGAAAAACATACAAATCTTCCAAAATCCATTTTCCTACATTGACAGTCAACATTTTAATCAATTTTACTGTTGATGTAATATTAATCCCTTTTCACAATAAAAAAAATGGAAAAAAAAAGAATGATGAACAAGTCCACTGTAAAATGTATTTTGGAGGAAGTAAGTTCTTCTTGCAGAGAATTTTTCCAAACTGACCTCTTGATGGCAACCCTCTAAGCAAATTGTCCTGATTGAAATATCCAAGTAATGTGGGCATAATTGATTCACCAGTATAACTGGCTGTCATGTGATTCACCAGTATTACTGACTGTCATGTGATTCACCAGACTGGATGTCATGTGATTCACCAGTATAACTGGCTGTCATGTGATTCACCAGTATAACTGGCTGTCATGTGATTCACCAGTATAACCGGCTGTCATGTGATTCACCAGACTGGCTGTCATGTGATTCACCAGTATTACTGGCTGTCATGTGATTCACCAGACTGGCTGTCATGTGATTCACCAGTATTACTGGCTGTCATGTGATTCACCAGTATAACTGGCTGTCATGTGATTCACCAGAATAACTGGCTGTCATGTGATTCACCAGTATAACTGGCTGTCATGTGATTCACCAGTATAACTGGCTGTCATGTGATTCACCAGTTATACTGGTTGTCATGTGATTCACCAGTATAACTGACTGTCATGTGATTCACCAGTATAACTGGCTGTCATGTGATTCATCAGTATTACTGGCTGTCATGTGATTCACCAGTATAACTGGCTGTCATGTGATTCACCAGTATAACTGGCTGTCATGTGATTCACCAGTATAACTGACTGTCATGTGATTCACCAGTATAACTGACTGTCATGTGATTCACCAGACTGGCTGTCATGTGATTCACCAGACTGGTTGTCATGTGATTCACCAGTATAACTGGCTGTCATGTGATTCACCAGTATAACTGGCTGTCATGTGATTCACCAGTATTACTGGCTGTCATGTGATTCACCAGACTGGATGTCATGTGATTCACCAGTATAACTGGCTGTCATGTAATTCACCAGTATAACTGGCTGTCATGTGATTCACCAGACTGGCTGTCATGTGATTCACCAGTATTACTGGCTGTCATGTGAATATAACTGGCTGTCATGTTATTCACCAGTATAACTGGCTGTCATGTGATCCACCAGTATAACTGGCTGTCATGTGATTCATCAGTATAACTGGCTGTCATGTGATTCACCAGTATAACTGGCTGTCATGTGATTCACCAGTATAACTGGCTGTCATGTGATTCACCAGTATAACTGGCTGTCATGTGATTCACCAGTATAACTGGCTGTCATGTGATTCACCAGTATAACTGGCTGTCATGTGATTCACCAGTATAACTGATTGTCATGTGATTCACCAGTATAACTGACTGTCATGTGATTCACCAGTATAACTGGCTGTCATGTGATTCACCAGTATAACTGGCTGTCATGTGATTCACCAGTATAACTGGATGTCATGTGATTCACCAGTATAACTGGCTGTCATGTGATACACCAGTATTACTGGCTATGATGTGAATATAACTGGCTGTCATGTGATTCACCAGTATAACTGGCTGTCATGTGATTCACCAGTATAACTGGCTGTCATGTGATTCACCATTATGTCTGTCATGTGATTCACCAGTATTACTGGCTGTCATGTGAATATAACTGGCTGTCATGTGATCCACCAGTATTACTGGCTATGATGTGAATATAACTGGCTGTCATGTGATTCACCAGTATAACTGGCTGTCATGTGAATATAACTGGCTGTCATGTGATTCACCAGTATAACTGGCTGTCATGTGATTCACCAGTATTACTGGCTGTCATGTGATTCACCAGTATTACTGGCTGTCATGTGATTCACCAGTATAACTGGCTGTCATGTGATTCATGTGATTCACCAGTATAACTGGCTGTCATGTGATTCACCAGTATTACTGGCTGTCATGTGATTCACCAGTATTACTGGCTGTCATGTGATTCACCAGTGTAACTGGCTGTCATGTGATTCACCAGTATTACTGGCTGTCATGTGATTCACCAGTATAACTGGCTGTCATGTGATTCACCAGTATAACTGGCTGTCATGTGATTCACCAGTATAACTGGCTGTCATGTGATTCACCAGTATAACTGGCTGTCATGTGATTCACCAGTATAACTGGCTGTCATGTGATTCACCAGTATAACTGGCTGTCATGTGATTCACCAGTATAACTGGCTGTCATGTGATTCACCAGTATTACTGGCTGTCATGTGATTCACCAGACTGGTTGTCATGTGATTCACCAGTATAACTGGCTGTCATGTGATTCACCAGTATAACTGGCTGTCATGTGATTCACCAGTATAACTGGCTGTCATGAGATTCACCAGTATAACTGGCTGTCATGTGATTCACCAGTATAACTGGCTGTCATGTGATTCACCAGTATAACTGGCTGTCATGTGATTCACCAGTATAACTGGCTGTCATGTGATTCACCAGTATTACTGGCTGTCATGTGATTCACCAGTATAACTGGCTGTCATGTGATTCACCAGTATAACTGGCTGTCATGTGATCCACCAGTATAACTGGCTGTCATGTGATTCATCAGTATAACTGGCTGTCATGTGATTCACCAGTATAACTGGCTGTCATGTGATTCACCAGTATAACTGGCTGTCATGTGATTCATCAGTATAACTGGCTGTCATGTGATTCACCAGTATAACTGGCTGTCATGTGATTCACCAGTATAACTGGCTGTCATGTGATTCACCAGTATAACTGGGCGTCATGTGATTCACCAGTATAACTGGCTGTCATGTGATTCACCAGTATAACTGGGCGTCATGTGATTCACCAGTATAACTGGCTGTCATGTGATTCACCAGTATAACTGGATGTCATGTGATTCACCAGTATAACTGGCTGTCATGTGATCCACCAGTATTACTGGCTATGATGTGAATATAACTGGCTGTCATGTTATTCACCAGTATAACTTGCTGTCATGTGATCCACCAGTATTACTGGCTATGATGTGAATATAACTGGCTGTCATGTGATTCACCAGTATTACTGGCTATGATGTGAATATAACTGGCTGTCA